ACCGGCGGTACAGACGATCTCTGCCCAGAGGCAGGAGGCAGGTGCAGGCCGCCGCCTTCTGGATCCGTTCCTGCAGCTCTCGAACCTGTGGGCGGAGACCGACTGCACAATCAAATCACAGTCCGACTGCTTCTACCATGTTTCTGCCCTGTGGTTTGGTTGGTGGCCTCTACTAATCCTCACATTTGAGAAACTGAACACAACAATTGCAATTAATTATTCCACTGCTGATTAATTTTCTGTCCAAAGTTTTATGGGCTAATTGTTGAAGATGCAGCTCTAGACATCAGACATCAGACTAGGGCTGCAATAATTATGGAAAAAAAATCAAAAGCATGATTTTTTTGCTCAGTATTTAACACGATTACTCACCAAATTTGGAAACACGCATTTACTGAAATTTGGGGGGAAAAAAAACAACTTGTCTTTAAACAGTTTCTTTAACTTTAAATCCGATTCAACTGAAGAACAAACGAAGCATTTCCTCCACCTAGTTGTGACTGACAGCTCAAGGAAATTCATTTCCACTCTACATTTATTTTACTAATAGAACGTTGCTACTTCAGATTAACAGTGCTGCCTGTCAAAACCCAAAGAATCGCTGTCTGCTGGGTCCAGTCAGCTGTCATGTTAGCTGGTTCTTAGCTGTTAGCTTAACAAGCTTGCAATGGCTAACACGAGCTGGCGGTGGATGACCGACTGCAGGCAAAGCGGAAATAATCGCTTCTCTGTAAGTTTAGCAGGTGTTTTGATAGATTACTCTTATTGACCTTTTACTCGCTGAGGCTCTACTGAACATACGGTAACGAGCTCAGATGTCGTCACCTCGGGTCATGTTCTACTTCACCCGATGCGAGCAAAGGCTGCTCACACTGCAGGGGTGCACTGGATTTATGACACAGGACAAGATGAGAGCACTGTAGCAGAACGGAGTGCTACACAACAGTTGTTTTATCTCAGTTACTTTGTCTTCATCATCATTAGAAGGCAAAATGGTAAGTGAAAATAAAATTCAATTAACTGCATGGACCTGCATCAGACATTTCAGTTTTTGTTGAGAGAAGACACTGAACTGTCAGTTTATTAAGGGGTTTGAGGGAGGAATCGGTATTAATCAGATGAAGACGCAGGATCAGTAGTGCTCCTGACCTTCTCCTGCTCCTTCTCCAGCTCCTCTGCAGTCAGGCTGGTTGGGGGGCAGGACAAGGGTTTGGGGTCAGAGGTCATCTCTTGCTGCTGTTTGTCTTTCTGGTCCATTGTACCTGGAGGAGAGAGGAGAAACTGATGACTCAGGCGGAAGTAGAACACAGTTTAAAGTGGTAGACGTCTCTGCACCTTCAGTTTAACGTGTTTTTTGTCTTAACCTGGATTTGTTTGTTTGCTGCAGTAAGTTAGCAGTGAGGTGCCAAGCTACTGCTCATTAACCCAAGTCTTTTTGCATGTGCTTCACAATATGAATACTTCAGCATGGAGACAGCTAATGTGGAGCCAGCGCGACCCCGTTGACAATATCAAGTAGGTTAACGATAAATAATGTTTCTGCAGTATACCACTTTGTTTCACTGCTCTGACTGAGCAATGAATCTGATTAGCTTTATATCAATTAATAGTTTTTGAAATGACAGGTGGCAGCTTCATGTGTTGATGACTGACTAACAGTCCAAAATCCCAGGGTATTAAAGTGTCCTGGCCTTAATATCAGGTCTGTGGTCTTTTGTTTTACCTTTTATCATCTTCACGTTGGATGAAGAGTTTTGCTCCTCCTCATCCTCAGGCTGCTGTTCTGCTTCAGGGTTTCTGCAGGTTCACCAAGATTCATTTAAGACATTTTTCTACCACAGAATGGAATTTAATTCCCATCACACAAGCCACTGAGCACAGTATCAAAGATATCAGTGAAAACCAAGATTTACCAAAAGCATCATTTTACTGACATCTCCACCTTTTAAGTCCCAGCTGTATGAAGCAATTCCTAATAACAAACTTATCAGACATTTGAACACTAGGAATATGAGCAGCTCTACCTGTCTGCCTGGAGTCTCCACTTCACCTCCTGCTCCTTCAGCTTCACCTCCTTCTCCCTCAGCCGCTGCTCCTGCTCCCTCAGCTTCTCCTCCTTACGAAGCCGAACCCTAAAGAAGAGAAGCAACACGCCAGGTTCAAAACTCCAACTTTATTCTTTCTCATTTCTCCTGTGTGCACACCTGTCTGTACACACCTGTGTGCACATGTTGTGTGTATACCTGTGTGCAGCCTCCTCTCGCTCTCTGCGGTGCTGTTCAGCTCTGATCTCTCTCAGTTCCTGCCTGGCAGCTTTCTGATCCTCCACACAGTCTTCAATCACATCTCTGCTGGACGCCGATGTCAGCAGCTTCCCCACCAGAGCCTGCAGGATTCTCAGCTTCTCCCCTACACACACACACACACACACACACACACACACACACACATCAGCACTGATCAATATACACTCTCCACACATGATACAATCAGTACTGAACAACAACTCATTCATAACTGCCAATTCCTGATTGGTCGGTTGCTGACCTGGTGTCAGGTCATACACTGCCGTGCACGACAGTCTCTTCAGCAACATTGGCTCGGCCAATCGCAGCTCCACACAGGGGTCGTCCATCAGCGTGAATCCACCCTGCTTCTGGTAGCGGAGCTTGGCGTTGCCGTGGTTACAGTCGGCGCCGGCGGCCAGGATGTGCAGCCGCAGTATTTCAGACAGCGTACAGCTGTCCAGGTCCAACTGCTTGAGACTGCAGCCCTGGTGCAGCTGAGGCCATGCTGCAGCCAATGAGGCAACAGCGCTCAGTGCCGAATGAGTCGGGTTAGAGTCATCGTCCAGAGCCTCCGACACACACACACACACACACACACACACACACACACACACAGTACATAAGCACACATACACACTAAATAGAAAGACTGATGTCCGTTTACCCTGCCAGTGTTACTAATGGGCAAAAATGTACAAATCAAATTTAAATGTCTGTCAGGCCACGTGTGACCAATCACAGCTCATTTCCATGGAAGTGCTTACGTTTCAGTGGAGATGTGGTCAGTTACGCGAGGCTCAGTGTGTCTGTGTGGGCTTGTATCGCTATCTTTGTTAGGACCAGATTCAGTTTTAAACCATCACTGTGAGGACATGTTGCCCAGTCCTCACGCCTTCAGCTTAGGGCCAGGGTTAGGGGATGTAGTATTACAGTGAGGATCCTCACCTTCAGCCTGGTATTTAGCCACCTCCTCCTGCTCCTCAGCCAGGGCCTGAAAGATGGCCGACAGGAAGAAGAACAGCAGCTCGCACAGAGGGCCTTCAGGATCTGAACCCACCAGTGCCTCCTCCAGAACCTCTGTGGAGACACACAACCTCAGAAGATCTGCTGGAATCAAACAACAACTGTCAGGTACCTACAACAGTCTCTAGAACCACTGCAGTGGGGAAGACCACCTGGTAGAACCAACACCACCCCTAAGAACCACTTACCAGAACCTCAACTCCCAGACCCTGTAGAACAAATCAAACCAAAGCTCGAGAACCAAATGAACCTTTAAAACATCAAACAAACAGAAGCAGGCAGCTCCCCTCCACTAACTGTTTCACCAGGCCAGGTACGCACAGTCCTGAGGAAGCTCAACCCCCGCAAAGCGGCAGGACCGGACAACATCCCTGGGAGGGCTCTCAGGGCATGTGCCAGCGAGCTGGCTGATGTTCTCACCACCATCTTCAACCTCTCCCTCAGCCAGAGCATCGTTCCCACCTGCTTTAAGACCACAAACATCGTCCAACCCTTCCCAAGAAGAGCCCGATCACCTGCCTGAATGACTACACTGTTCATCTGGGGGCTCGAAGTGGAGAGTGTGAGCAGCTTCAAATACCTGGGCGTCCACATCAGTGAGGACCTCACTTGGACACTTAACAACACACAGCTGGTCAAGAAGGCCCAACAGTGGCTGTACTTCCTGAGGAGGCTGAGGAAGTTTGGCATGTCAC